AGCGCAAGCCTCCGCGCCTTTTCTACAGCCGCGCCTGACATCACGTCCTGCCGCCGTGCCATTGGCCGCCCGGCGCCCCAGGCCCTGGCAGCGCGTGCTCCGGGAAGGCGGGAGACCCGAGAGGGAGGGGAGAGGCAAGAGGAGAAGGGGAGATGGTGGGAGCTGGTGGGCGAGGCTGGAGGAGGAGGCGGGCGGTAGGGAGGCGGGAGAGCGCGGGGTTTGGAGTTTTTAAGCTACGAACAGTTTCCTGCGATTTCTGAGGGAAAGAAAATTAAACCTGCTCTCTCTCTTCGCCGTCACCGTCACCGTCCTGAGAAGGCAAGGCCGGAGGATGCTTGGGGAGGTATCAGTCTCGCCTCCCCATGGCCTCCGGCACTGTCTGGGGAGGCCCCGAAGGGCAGGCCTGGGGCAGAGTTGCTAGGGCCTTCGGCGGCTTCCCGCCGAGTTTGGCCTCCTCCCGGGCTCCCTGCTGCAGTCTGCGGGGCGGCAGCGCAGGCTTCCTGGGGACCTAGCAGAGCCCCAAAGGTAAGAACCGCGGGAGCTGTGACTCCCAAGGAGAATGGTCAACAAACATATCCTCCCTCCAAAGACAGGGCCCAGTGTACTGCCAAGCACGAAGTTCCTTAATATTCCCCAACTCACTCCAGCCTGGAAGAGCGGGAGCGAGCAGGGCTTTAGGAATTTAAAAGCAGAGCTGGAATCTTAGCTCTGCTATTTACATGCACTGTAATCTTAGGTAAGCGACTTAAGGTCCCTTAGCCCTAGCCAGCTTCTGACTTTCAGTGAGAGGCAAGGTTTCCTCCACATCAAAGGGATGTAGAAAGATCATGCATGTAAAATGTGTGAAATACAGTAGACACTCAGCAAATTCTTTAATCACTTCTTTCCTCTCTATTAAAAACTTTCTCACTCCAATATACATTTGGTATCAAAGATGTTCTTAAAACTCACAAGCATGCTCTCCGCCCATTGGGCTCACCATGCCACCCACACTGACACAGGTGAGAAATGAGTCCACGAAGCCACCTGGCTGCATCATTGGGCCAAGGATCAACAACCTCTTAGCCTGCTGGGTAAATCCTAACTGCCAAATTAGACTTCAAGCTTATCCAGGGCAATGTCTAGATTTCTGGTGGAGTGGGGTTTAGGAAGTAAAAAGTAGTTGTAGAGAAAAATGAAATAAGTCTCTGAGTATGGTGTCCTGGGTCTGTTCTGGAAGTGGGTTTCTTTCGCTCCTTGCAATAGGGAGATGTATTTGTCTGAAGTGATTTGCCTACCTGGAAAAGGTAGAAGGAAAGCTAGGATCACGGGTTTATCTGACAGGGTGTTATGCCGAGGCAGCATTAAATCACAACTTTCCACATACCTGCATAACTCTCACCTACAAACTATACAGGCGCTTGGAATGTCCAAACGTGCACTTGGGTTCATGTCTGCAAGGGCACATGTTCATCACTTTTGGCAAAAATACAGCCAGCACAAATTCATCTTTATTGGTACAACCACAACCAGCACAGATGACGAGCTAGGGTGTACATATGTACACCTGGTACAAGTGTCCACTACCTGGCAGATGAATCTGGAAAGCTACACACTAACCATGCACTTGTGTGCTCAAGCAGTTCTACTTAAATCCCTAAGCACATTCTTTTGAGGCTGTTTTTGCATGTTTGCAAAAACTCGAAGTTACAAGTATTTGTGTACACCAAGCACTTACATAGATGCCCTTCGAAGGAAGGACCATGAATCCAAAGATGCATGTACACGTGTGTTCACACAAACATGTGCCTCAGTGCCTGCACAGGACCAGAGCCCAGGCACCGAGATGCCTATGCGGATACACAGGTATGTTATTGGGACACTTTCTTCAAAAGGAATAGGGAATGAAAAGCTAGTTCAGGAGTCACCAGGGTTCATCCAGAGATCGCCCAAAGGGTAGGAAAAATTGTGACAACGTTGGAGTGTTCCTCCTTAGTACTGGCTGGATACAGTGAGTTTCAGAGAGCTCTAGGGGCTGCGGTGGAAGCTGAAGTGGGGTACTCAGTAACTCTTGCTAAGGGCTTTTCAAGAACCCTGGAAACACACACTGTGGCTCTTCACGGCCCCTATGTATATCTGCACAGTCTTCCTCTCTGTCCAGCACCCCCTTGCATCGCTGGACTAACCCCAAATTCCCGGGCATTACGGGTTCCCTCTGGGTGCGCTCCTCTCTCTATCCCTCAGGGCCAGGCTGGGACACGCTCGGGCCTGGACGGGGCTGGAGCGCAGCTCGTTCCTCGGGGCCGGATTCCAGCACCCCGCCCTGGGCTTCAGAGGCCGGTAACTGCTAATCTCCCCCAGCGGTGGGGGCCGTCGCACAACCGCGGAGCCCTGTCCGAGGAGGCTAAACAAGGAGAGGAACAGGCTGTAAACACATCTCCAGACACGTGAGTGACATTTACGCGGCGCGAGGAGCCGCAGCGGAGGGGAAGGCAGGGGTGAAAGGGATCTGGAACCGACAGGTAAAAGGAACCTTCCTCGGCGCCCCTCCCCCTGATCGAGGAACAAAATCCCCAAGTCCCCAGAACCTGCCTTTGTGGGAGGTGACAGGTGAACCGAATTCAGGTCTGGCCACAGTAGCCGCTGCCTACCTCCCCACCATCTGCTTCCTAGCAGACGAGCAGACCCGGCGCATAATGAGGTAGCAGCCTCCAGCCGGCCACCGTGACTAACTCAGAACAAAAGCGCTCCCTCCACGCCTCCTCCACTTCCTCTCTTCTCCTTTTTTCAGTACTGGGGACTGAATCCAGGGCCTTCACATTGAGCTCTTTCCCTCCGTTTTTTATTTTGAGACAGGATCTCATTAAGCTGCTAAGTTGCTCAGAGTCTTAGTTTCCTAGAGTGCTGGAATTACAGGCATGTATCACTACTTTCCTTGTAAGTTTTATAGGTTTGAACTTTTGAGGGGGTGGGTACTGGGGATCGAACTCAGGACCTTGCATTTATGAGGCAGGCACCGCCCGCCCGGAGAAAGTGAGGCCTGGCCGGGCGGGGGAGAGGGGGAGGGCGCGGGAGAGCGCGGAAGCAGGGTGATTGATCAGTGCGCTGTTCCCGGCGCTCCGGCCCGTTATTAGAGGCGGCCAA